TCCTTGCCATTTGTGAAATTCAAATGCTCACGGAACATGTTTTTATGGTGTAACAGAGTTGTAGCTAATGATTTAGACAACCTAGTGGAATTTACAAGTCCTCAAGAAGACGACATCTCGTCTTCCCGCCTTCCTTTTGTACTTTCATCACTATCTTGTTGCAATTAATGTATCAAAAATGTAGAATAAGCATTCAATAGTTTCCATGTCTGATCTACTTTCTTAATTTCTTTTTGTGAGATCTGTGAGCAGAAACAAGAGAAAGCAGACCAACCATGATGTATCTTCTGCCTTGTGTATGGTGATGGAAAATATTATACTCGTAAACGGTTTGGAGTGTAAGATGGCTTCAAATTCATCAAAGGTACATGAATTTCTACTTTGACTTCAACTGCTGAAATTGCAAATGTTTGGTACAACTTTGTGATATTGTTAAGTGGGTTTTGCAAATCCCGAAGAATATGTACTTTTAACCTTATATAGTGTTTGTTGTAACTTGAGCCGGTAATTTCAGCCCATATTTATAAAATCAGTCCATTTAACACACATTTAATGAGTTGGATCACTTTTATTTTGATTGGGTAAATATGGACTTCAATCTATTTTAATCCATGACAATACGGGTAAAATATATAATATGGATATCCATATTTTAACTATCCGAGTGAAGACAAATATTGCACCATCATATTTGACTAAGGACAAACTGAACATACTATTCAGTTGCATGGGTCTATTCTTACAGCCAAAAAAATGATTATTTTTTTAAAAATAACTTTTTCCTATTCAGAAATATCACTGTTAGCTCAAATTATCTCACATTGACATATCAAAAATACCTGCAAAATTTTGTTTGTTTAAAGAATTAATATTGAGGAATTACTATAATTGGTACAAATGCGGAAGCAAAATAACAAAAACATAAATGGGAGGGTATAGATTCAGGAGAGGACCAATTAAGGAAACTTTAAGACCTATCAGTTTAAAACTTAATTGAGTCAAAACTATTGTACACTTTTAATCATTTGCTTAAGAATATTCACAAGTTTACCATAATTTACTAACCATTTCATGTGTTCTGTTGAATTTATATTGTTGCTTCACAATATATTTGGTAGTTGTATATGTAGTTCTATAAATATTGTCCAATATAATATATTTTCTACATGAAAGGACCGAAAACACATATTTATTAATTGAAAGTTAATGTGCTGCGTCATTACTCGAAATTAATATGCTCTTATCAATTTGCATTTGTCTACTTTTTACCGTATTTATTTCGAGAAGATTTTGATTTACGCCTGTCCAGTTTTTATTAGATTTTTAAAACTAATATCTTGTAAATTTGTTTAAGAATAGAGAAAATGGCTCACCCCCCACTATTCTACAGTGGCGTCCTATTACTCCCCTGAACCTTCTATTTTTGGAAATTCGTAACCCCTAACATTGTTTGGATTGTTGTTATGTGTTGTTTCATAATGTGTCGTATTACATTACAATGTTTGGATAGATTGTATTGTTCTCCATCGTTACTGAATGTCACAGTCCAACAACTTGAATGATAAAACCTATAAGAAAAGTAGCTCTACCGGGTAGAGCTATTACAAAAAGGTAAAGTAAAGAAGAAAATAGGATTATTAAATAGTAAGTAGACAATATGAGAAGAAAATATTAAGGTAACGACGTGATCACACTAAATCGATTGTTACACAAAATGAGGCTTTTCATCGTTACATAACGGTGAATTTAAATGATACAATAAAATTTAAGTAATAATGAAAACTAACATTGTATTTAAACTAACAATTCAACTAGTAAGAACCATCCCAACAAGGTGTATATGCTGACCCATCCAAGATGGTGAATACACCTCTTGCAGGTGCGTAAGAATTGAACGAAAAGACCTAAAATTGCTAAAATTGAATTAAATAGTCCATGTGTCAGTTTCCGATTGGAGATTCTACAATTAATGGAACTTTTTTAAAAACAAATAAAGCATCCAAATATTCAGTCAAATTAAATGACAAATCAAGGTATCCGAGTATCTGAAACATAGAATGAAATAAAGAAGGGATGGACCTTTTGAGCTTTGAACTGCAAAATTGCTTGAAGAATGGAAACCGCAGACCGGAAAGCCTCATCAGTGATGGAATCTGATCACTGAACGATAGATCCAAGCTCGAACAATGACCCCCTCACCTCGACATTAACGAACTAGACAGTAAAAAACCTAACTGGATTTGGTCAAAATTTTACCCAGTCGCAGGTTGTAGAAAATGGGGTCTGTTTTACTGCATTTAAAATGGCTTCATGGTGTTTTCATGTATGTGACAAGGATGAGAAATTTTTAGGTTGAGATCCAAATTGTGTGTGTAAGATTGTGGGGAAGGAATAATAAGGAAATAAGTAGGGTTCACTGAATTGGAAATAACGAGGGAAATAAAAGTGAAGGGAGTGGGCTCAACGCGTGTATACAAACATTTTTATATATCTGATTTTCTTGGACAGGTCAGTGTTTTAAGGGTTGCGAAATTTTGAATATAAAAGGTTTAGGGGGTAATAGGACTTCAATTTAGATTAAGTATGTAGTTGGTAAAATGGCAATAGGTTTGTGAGGTGGTGGTGCTTTTAGCGTTTCTCTTTAATAATATATTAACAACTCTATAATTTTGTTTTGATTGTCAGTATTTTTCCTGAAGAAAATGAACAAGAATGGTGTTGTGAAACTGGTGTTGGGTTTGTACCGAGTAAAAAACTGATTTTAATTAACCAAGTGTTTTGGCTGTAGGAGATTAAAGTGGGTTATGACTTCGGACCATTTTACCCAATCCATTTTCTTTACCTATTTTCATATAGGCGGATTGAATCCGCCCAAATCTGTCCATTTGCCACCAGTAGTTGTTAGTTGTAACTGAAAGTTAGTGCCTTTATTAGTTCCCAGCTTAGATAAAAACAATTTTAGGATAAATTCATTCAACTGAGATGAGGATTTGCAGATTTCTTATGTACTGGACACCGAGGATTTCTTTTACCGTCTTGGAAGGAAGAGAAGAAACATTTCGGCTGGCAGGTTATCATGTCATGGCCATGAGAGAATAGAACGCTTTCACCGTGTTTTGACATCCTTGTTATGATGATGCGTGGTTTTCTTGTTAAACATGTGGTAATCAAGGTATGCACCATCTAACTAAGCCAAATCACTATATATATGGAGGTCTATTCGGTGTACTTGCTGTAATTCACATCAATATTTGTTGCTATTTCAAAGAACTTATTTCACTCATTGATCTCAAATGAAAAAAAAAAGGAATACTTGCTCACTCTTATTCCCTTCTTATATCTGTGTACTTCAGATTTTCTTGGTTTCTTTGGTACAACAACTTACTTGACCCAACTGGTTGAGCACTCGGTGGCAGATTCTCTTGAATTGACTTCACCCTCAGAACAAGGATCTACTTGTGGATCTTCTCGTTGACTGTATTATACTTGTCAATGGCATTCAAGCCGTCTTCTTGTAAATGTGGGTTTCACTCGTGATGTTAAATTGTTAATTGTAGAGTTGTGTTTATTGAGTTGTATTGCTTCCATGGGAGCACATAGGAGCCTAGACTGCATTCCTCACCAGCAGTCTGTGTACAAGCGGCCCCTGTGAAGTGAACTAGCTGAAAGTGGTATAGTGAAAAGGCTTATATTAGATATTTCAGTGGGTATAGTCCCTAATCTTGTACAGAGTACATACTCCAATTCCTCTATGCTAAAACATAAGATTTGTTCCCTTCTTGGCAAGGTGTTACTTCTATCATTCATTCATGTATTGGTTTAGTTGTATGAAGTACATGTATTTTCATCCTAAGAAGAGGTCTTGGGTTTGGGCTTAGTATTGGTGAACCTTTTGAAGGGGAAGCTCTTTACTTTACTTAGTGGGTTTACTCTGTGTAAATGTGCATTAGTCGGGGTAGTGAGTTTTGAATACCTGATATCGCAAATGAGAATAGAAGTACATGCGTTTCATTCAGGAAATACAGACTGGTTTTCCTTCACTCCCATCCCAGAGTTGATGAGTCCAACAATATGACGATGTGTGCGCTCCAATAGTGTATCGGTTTTATGATTTGATATACTACCAGAGACTTGTAATGGTAAGGCTGATAGTCTCGGTTTCACAGCGAAAGAAACTCAATTTTTGAAGTCACTATTCAATTTTATAATTGATGCCATGAAAAAAGCAATCGAAAATTGGCCAACTTGCTGTAAACTGTATTGTAAAGCGGCCTCCATATGATTGGGGGATTAACCACATTTGTCCTTGCAGTCATATGATTTTCTAAGCTGGACTTGCAAAAGGGTATTTTCAAATTTACAGTCTGTTGGAAGTTTGAATGATGTTCAAATTCAAACCTTTGGTATTTTAAATTCAGACAGGAACATAGGCAGAGTATATATTTATTATAAGTGGGGTTTGAGAAACTGTTAGGTATACACAAACTTTACTCTTTTTTCCTTTTTAGGATAAAGAGATTGTTTTTGATAGTTCTCTGTTAAAAAAATTGGTTTTCAGTAGTAGGTTCAATATAAAGTTTGTTAAAATGATTATATTTTTGCAAATAAATAATCTTTTAAAAATTATACCATGTGTATTATTTAGCACAACAATCTCAAGTTTTCTAACCAAACAACTCCTTAAATACTCCACAATTCAATATTTTAATGCTTTTAAAGTTCTGGAGATACCAATAATTAAATAAATATTTGCAAATATAAAAATTTAGCATTTAAATTAACCAGAGTGCCTCTCTTTTTCTATCAAAATCACAGAAGAGAAGACATTCTTTCAACAAAGAAGTATTCATTTTCTTTGACCGAAGTTTTTTTTTTTTTTTTTTATTGTTATAATTTATTTTATAAAATATTTAAAGTTTTTATGTTTGAATTTATTTTAATTTAAAATTTGAATCTCCAAAATTTAACAGTAAATTGAAACAGAGAGAGTCACGTCTTTCGAGGCAAACAGAGCTAGTTGGAGCACAATATTGAAAACCATGGGCGTTTGCGTACAATGAACTTAAAACAAATTGCAGCTGAGAAGAACATTCCACACGAAATATAAATACTAGTAGCAATCACAGAGAAGAACATCGCCAGCTGAGCTCTGTAGTCTTCATTTTCCGATTGTGCTCCTTCTTCCCATGGCTTCCTCCACCGTTAACCGATGGCTGAGGCCCGAGGTCTGTTTATCTCTCTTTAACTTATCTTTTTTTGTCGTCCTGAAATTCGCTATTTTTACTGTTTGGTTCATAGATCTAGCAAAGAGGCAACGGCTGTATGTGTAATAGTATACTGCATTTTACTAGTTCGGCGATTAGATCTGGAGTACTGATATTGCAATTTTTATGGTGTTATAGGTGTATCCACTATTTGCAGCCGTAGGAGTAGCTGTTGGGATTTGTGGGTTTCAATTGGTTCGCAATGTCTGTATCAATCCTGAAGTCAGGTAAACCCTTCCTCCGTTTTTGCCGTTGGGTTTTAGGTTAAATTATACTATGAATTGCCAGATTCTTCAAATTATTGTCTAAAAGTGTTTAGTTTGTACATTTTATGATATATTTGGACTTGCTAACTTCTTAATGAAAAGTCAATGCATGAAGGTTATATATAGTTTGATGTGTCTCTGCCAGCAAATTGCATTTCCTTATTTCATACTTGTGTAATTACTCAATTTGGTTGAATTCACTCAAAGTGAATTTTTTTGGTACACAATTTCAATCAACGGAGACTGAATGTGCAATTTATTATATTACACCCTGTGTTGCTCGGCCTCTTGAAAAATACGGATAGGTGAGTGTCTGATCCATCCAAAGTAGTGCATTTTTTGGAGGATCTGACACAGTGTAACAACATTTTGAAGAGTCCAAGCAACATAGATTACACCATTTCAGATGTATATATTATGCATGTGTCAGAAGTTGGTAAAGATTTTCAATTATGAAAGGGAGAACGAAAATGCAAGAAGAAAAAACGGAAAAGAATGCAAAAGTCTGGCAAAAATTTTGAACAGGGAGAATTCTTCAGGGCAGGGTGGTATACTGGTAGTAGAGAATGTGGGGCTGGGGTGTGGATATTGGCGGATCCAGGATTTCCATTAAGGAGGTTCGAGATAAAAAGAGTAGTGCCTAAGATTTGAACTTGGAACCTCAAGGTGAGTTTTGAACCCCTCAACCACTAAGCCAACCTTTAATCTTACCTTTAGGAGGTTCAAAATCAATATATAGACATAAAAGTTCCTTAAAATACCTTAAATATACAACATATTTTTTTCTGAGGGGGTGCAATCTCAAGGTCCGCCCCTGGGTGTGGCCTGTGGTGCTGTATTAGGAGCAATTTTACAGGTAGATGGTTTATCCCTGCCTGCCCCTTTGCCATCCATTGGTGGGAGGAATTTTTTGGGACACTATGGTTTTTTCTGCTTAATAATCTATCAAAAAAACTGAACAGTTATATTCATGACTTAGAAGGATAGGGATTTGAGATCCCTTAAGTTACTTCTACAGCTTAGTTTGCTCTTTTGTATTGAATGCTATTCCTTTATTTTCGCTTATTACCTCATCCATCACAGAATCTTAAAGTTCATAAGAGATATAAACAATTTGTACACTGTCTTAATGAGCTTCTTAGGCTTGTAATGGAGAGAATCTTTCTTTGGTGGAGACCTTAATGCGTGAATGAGGACTGTTAATGGACTTTTCCTTTTAGTTCTGATTGTATGTTAAGTTTGGTAGTTCATTACTGTATTAGATATTCTCTCTTTAAACTAAGCTGTAACAAGAGAAGGAGATTGTTAGTTAGACCTTCAACTTCTCTGATCTGCATCTTCTTGCTACTTGTAATGCTCTTTTGTTCTTTGGATCCTATTGCAATTGTAGTGGAGTTGTAGAAAGTAGAAAATTGCTATATATTCTATAGTTCACGGATGTTTTTTTGTTCTGCAAAACATAGGGTGACCAAGGAAACAGGGCAGCAGGAGTGTTGGAGAACTTTTCAGAAGGGGAGAAATATGCAGAACACACTCTGAGGAAGTTCGTTCGTAACAGGTCTCCAGAGATCATGCCATCTATCAATGGCTTCTTCAGCGACCCCAAGTGATAGCCAAATTTAAGCCTAAGTTTATTGTTTGTTTATGATCAACTAATTTCAATTGTATTACTATTTGATCATCTAATTCCAATTGTGTCACTTCTTATGGCTTACTCCTTTATTTTTAATGCATGGTCCTTTCGACTCACTCCCTCCATTCCATATTAATTTAATTTTTGAGACATTTTTAATTATTCAATTTTCATGACTACTTTTAGAGTGTTCTTCCAATTTTACCTTTCATTAGTTAGTATTGGAATTAATGATTAATTAATATTTAGTTATTTTAATTATAAATTTGACAATAATTAATAAGGGTAAAAATGGAAAATTATGTTCAATTTATGTCTTAATCTACTTTTCTTAAATGGTGTGAAACACTTCAAAAATTAAATTAATATGGAATGGAGGGTGTAATATGATATCCGCAACCTTGTGTAACATTTGTGATTCATTGAGCAGACGACAATGTGAAAAATTGATCTTAGGAAATCATGAGAAGACAGATCTTCAAGGAGCAAGATGTGGTCATGATCACATGATCGATTAGCCAATTGTAATTTTTTATTGAGCAATGCACTAGCAGTGTACAAGAATAGTCATACAACTAAGAAGGGGGGGGGGGGGGGGGTTCACTTACATCAATTACCACGAAAAGGATGGATCAAGATACATAATAATGAGTCTTGAAGCATAAAATATAACCCTCGAGTCAGGAAAAAAAGGTTTGTATGGTGGGAACTGAGAAGTAAACAGAAAACTCCAAAAAATGTCACTCTAAGAAAAATATTCTGTTTTTTTAAAAAATAAACATTTTGTGCTTAAATTTAACCATTCTTGATAAAATTATTTTTTATTGTTAAGCCAGATAGAGTAGGTTAGAAGTTCCAATCGTGTTGATTTTTTTTTTTTTCGCGCTTGATTGGGAAAATCAACATTATTAGTCTAATCCTACAAAGAATCAGGTAAGAGTGATGATGTAGAAGAAATTTGATTTGACATTCCTATGGGAATTTTTAACATTAAAAATATTGTCTCTTGAACTTTACCAAACGAGAGCCTTTCTTCGACCAAATAAGATACTATACTACATATTTATCACGGAAGGTATTTTATAGATTTTCCTCTTCATTTGCTTTTAACTTTTCTCTTTCTGTCCTCAATTTCCATTTTTGCAACTTCTTCTTCCAAATGGTAAGTTTCCCCCAAAAAACATGCTTTTCTTTGTTTTTTTTTTTAAAAAATTCAAAAAGAAAAGTTAAAGTAGTCAAATTTTTTTGAACAGTACATTTATAAAAAAACAGTTTTCAAAATAAACTAATTTTGAAAGCATAGTGAAATAGACTATCAGTTTGAGTTTAAAATTTAAATAAATTATGTCACCTTTTGTTTGAACTTATATATTTGTATGTTTAAATTAATTATCTTCTGAAAGACTTTTAAATCTATCTCTAGTTTTTGTAAAATATTTCAGTAATTTAATCTTTGGCGTTACTAAATTACATGTGACGGTTCCTTTACAATCACGATAAGCACGAACAAATTTATTTAATATATTAATTAAAACAAGACGCACTTATCAATTTCACATAACAAGTTGCTTATTTAGATATTTTTGTGCAGCCCGTAGTTCTTGACTGTACGTGGTCCATTTCTTTGTGCAAGATGCAAGTAGACAATCTTTACTAAATATTTATCCAGAATTTTAGATAAAAAAATTACTTTCTCCGACTTTACTTGTCCACTATTGACTTTGCACACTTGTTAAGAAACTATAAATAAAATGATAATTTTATCATATCATCATTTTAATATAATAAATACAATGTCTTAAAAAAAGTACTAATAGAGAAATAACTATAATTAATAATAAGGATAAATGAGGAACTAAGTGTAAAATTATCTATTGATTTTATAAAATTGATAAGTATTATTCGACGAAGAGAGTAAAATCTTTTATGGTTAAAATACATAAGCATAACCCATCTTGATATATATATATATATATAAAATACATAAGCATAACCCATCTTGATATATATATATATATATATATATATTACCTTTGGTTTTCTTTTAGCACCATTAATTAACAAACAAAATAGGATACTTGATCTAATGTCACGTTGCAACTTGCAATTATTTAAAGTGGGTATAGAACATGGTTGCTATTTCAATTCCTTGAAGCAGGCAACGAAGACTACGTCAACTAAGCGCAATTAAACAAATGCAGTACAGTCATACATGAATAAATAGGAGACCATACTTCTATGTCCAATTATCATATTCACTTCTATTTTCACTGCAATAACAATTTGATCATACAATACAGATTAGCAATATGTCAAGAATCCTGCACAAAATCGAGGAGAAGCTTCACATACACCACAAACATGGAGATGATGATATTCCTGCAGCACAAAACAAGCCACAAGAAATTACCCCTGTGATTAATGAGGAAAGCAATGTAGATAAGAAGGACGTCGACGTTGATGATCATAAAAAAAGGCATTTGGTGAAAAAAGTTGGGAAAATTGCGAAAAAATTGTTACAGGGTCATAACAAAACCTCCAGAGAGGAAGGCGGTTACGAAGGAGAGGAGGAAGAAGAGGCCGTGGAGGAAGGAGAAGAAGTAGAAATGGAAGAAGGTGGTTTTGAATTTGAACTCGATTTCGACTTTTGAATTTTTATTACTCGTATTATGATTTAGGTATCAACCCAATTGTTGTGTGCCTTTTATATTTGCGTTCTTGTTTATTGATATAAGAATATTTCCTCTATACCCCAAAACAAATTAAACTGGCCCAGATGCTCCAACTGCACGGCTAACTTCATTCTGCTTATTTGTGGAGAGAAGTTTAAATCTAAAATTTCTAATTAACCGAAGGAATCTGTCACATCATAATTCTGAATAATTTTAATTTTCTAGTAGTATTGTTACGACAGCAAATACACTTTGGGAGTCCGGAGCCTAAAGGGCAAAAAAAAAATTGTCAAAAATTCCAAAAGGGCACATCACTTTTTATTCTAGCCAAAAGGGCAAAATCGCTGCGCCAGCAGCGATTTTCCTCTGACAAAAAGACGAAATAGCAGCGATTCGTCTAATTTTTTTTAATTAAAAATCGCTGTCACAGCAGCGATTTTGTAAAAAAAATAAAATAAAATATTTTAAATTAAAAATCTCTGCCACAGCAGCGATTTTGTAAAAAAAAAAATAAAAAATTATTTTTTATTAAAAATCGCTACCACAGCAGCGATTTTGTAAAAAAAAAAAAAAAATTTTAAATTAAAAATCGCATTTTGTAATTATTTTTAATTAAAGATCGCTGCTTTTTCTTTAAAAAAACTAAAACGGCACATCAAAAAAAAAAATTAACCAAAAGGGCTTCTGACAAAACAAAAATAAAAATCGCTGCATATTTTCTAAAAAAAAAATAACTTTTTTTTTAAAATTTAATATCTTTTATTATTATTTATGATATATAATTCAATTTTCCTCATGCTTCAACAATTTTATTGAGTATACTGTCGTCTTGTTTATCATTTTTATATTACTAATAAGTAATAATAGGCATGAAAATAATAGTACTCGGCATGAAAAACGCTGCCCCTGCAGCGATGTGTAAGGAAAAAAAAATTCTGACTTAAAATCGTTGCCACAACAATTTTTTTTTTTTTTTTTTACAATGGCAGCGATTTTTAATAATAATAATAAAAACAAAATTTAACAAAATCGCTGTGGCAGCGATTTTTAATAATTTTTTTTTTTTAGACGAAATTGCTGCTATTTAGTCATTTTGTCAGAGGAAAATCGCTGCCCAACGCAGCGATTTTGCCCTTTTGGTTAGAATAAAAAGTGATGTGCCCTTTTGGAATTTTTGACAATTTTTTTTGCCCTTTAGGCTCCGGACTCTAAACTTTGGACCCCAAACCGTGGGACAACATCAGAATTTCAACTATGTATTGCAGACCCTCTAAATTTAATTATCCCAACCTATATTTGTATAATTAAATTATCTATTCAAAAACTTCTTTAAATCTATCTTTAAATAAAGTAGTTATCATAAATGTGACGGTTCCTTCACAATCGTGCTAACTGCAGACAAATTTATGACTGTATTGTTGGTGTAATATATCACAAATCTAATAAATATAGTTGAAAATAAAATGAATAAAAAAATAAATAAATTATCATTCGGACTGAAGCACAAATATCTTGCTTTCTTAAAGAAGATCCAAGTTCACTGCGATATAATATACATCGTACCGATTCAACAATGTATCTCTTAACTTGTCCGGTTATCCCTTCTAGGATATAACAACCCAACAACGTCATACTACTCAAGTAACACCGAATTAGTTGAAAAGTTCAAAGCTCTATAACACAGAACAAATTCTTTCAACATATAAATACTCTCTTTTATATAGTGAATATAATTGAAGACCTAGAATATTTTTCTCTTAGTCACAACTCTCTCTTTCACTACTACATACTATAATATTTTTTCACGCTTAACATAGTTCATCTCCTACCCAACACAAAGGAAGATGCACCATTATTTATACGTAAAGAAGTCTTTCATATAATCAATAAGTAGAATAATGGATGAAATGAAGATTTAGAGGTTACAAAAGTTACTAATTACTAATGACCAAATTTTACCACAACACAAATATAATATCCATCAATAAACATAACACGATATATTATGTGACATGATATATTTTTATTAATATTAAAATGTCACAATAACATTTATTATTATTATTAAAAGAAGACCCACTTATCAATTTCACATAACAAGTTGCTTATTTAAATATCTTTTTGTGCAGCCCGAATCAGTCAAACACGTAGTTCTTGACTCTGGTCTATTTCTTTTCACAGGAAACACAAGTGGACAATCTTTAATTTACTTATGTAGAGTTGTAGACAAAAGACTTATTTTTTAGAGCAACTTTCACATATAGCAAACACAAAATTTATATTTGTATGCTATAACAAAGTTTGCATAATTGCGCTTCATAGCAAACATATATATGTATAATTCGCTATACATAGACAAAAAAATAGTTGTATAATCTGCTTTGGTATACATATACAAAAAGATCAATTGTATAAAGTGAGAGAGGCGAGTGAGCGAGTGAGATCTGGGAGAGGGGAGAGAGGGGAACGAAAATATATGTATATATACAATTTTCATGCATTTTATACATTTGCGTTTTTGTATAAAGTGAGAGAGGCGAGTGAGAGAGCGAGATCTGGGAGAGTGGCGAGCGAGATCTGGGAGAGGGGAGAGAGGGGAACGAAAATATATGTATACATACAATTTTCTCTCGCTTTATACAAACACAAACACATTTTATACAATTTGCGTTTTTTGTATAAAGTGAGAGAGGCGAGTGAGAGAGCGAGATTGGGAGAGTGGCGAGCGAGATCTGGGAGAGGGGATAGAGGGGAACGAAAATATATGTATATATATAATTTTCTCTCGCTTTATACAAACACAAACACACTTTATACACTTCCGTTTGTATAAAAACGAGAGAGGCGAGGGAGAGAACGAGAGTGGCGAGCGAGATTCACCAGGAGAGAGGTGAAATAACAACAATTTGCTATGAGGTACAATTAAATCAAACTATATTTATAGCATTTAATTTGAATTAATAATTTGCTATTATATACAATTTTCCCTATTTTTTATTATTTGAAGTGGTCACAGGACTCTCAAATGTGAATTATTGAAATTTGGTAAACGTAGTTGCTATTACATAATTAAATGTCTTAAAACGTGCTTGTAAAAAATAATTAAATGATGCTTAGGGAGTATTATAATTGACAAGTGGCTAAAACGTAGTCCATTTTAAAAACTAGAAATTGAAACGACAAGGACATTCTGCTAGTTTAAACAAATTATGATTCTCTTCTAATAAAAAGATAACCTAAAAATAACAAAGCTCAAATGTCAAAGGTTAGAAACATTATATTACTATGAAAGAACCAAAATAACCAGAAACATCAATCCTAATTAGCATCTGATAACAACCAATATAAAAAAAAGTCAACACACCAAAAAACCCAACAGAATTCAATATATCTAATATATACAAATAGTGTACTTTTCTGACGAATAAGATTCGGATGAACTATCTGACTCAATTCCTGGTAACAACAACAGTGAAATGCATAAGCATAACCCATTTTTTTTTGTTTCCCATCCGGTGTCTGGAGCCCACATTGGAGCTCCGACTAAATCTGGATTGCACTCTGGAGGGGCCCATTCGGGGATGGCGCTCCCAATAGGATTTTCTCCATATCCAGGGCTCGAACCCGAGACCTCTGGTTAAGGGTGAAACACTCCCACCAGTGCACCACAACCCATGTTGGTATACCTTTGGTTTTCTTTTAAGACCATTAATTAATTAACAATATACAATAATTCATGTAATTTCAACTTGCAATTATTTAAAGGTTATATATAGAACATGGTTTGCTTTTTCCTTTTCCATGACCAGACACGCTAATTGAAGCAGGCAACGAAGACTATGTCAACTAAGCTATTAAGCGAAAGCCGTACGGTCATACATGAATAAATAGGAGACCATACTTCTATCCAATTATCATATTCACTTCTGTTTTCACCACTTTGCATTAACAATTTGATCATATAGATTAGCAATATGTCAAGAATTTTGCACAAAATCGAGGAGAAGCTTCACATACACCACAAGCATGGAGATGATGATATTCCTGCAGCTCAAAACAAGCCACAAGAAATCCCTGTGATTAAGGATGAAAGCAATGTAGATAAGAAAGAGGACGATGTTGATGATCATAAGAAAAGGAATTTGGTGAAAAAAGTTGGGAAAATTGCCAAAAAATTGTTACATGGTCATAACAAAAACTCCAGAGAGGAAGGCTACGAAGGAGAGGAAGAGGAAGAGGAAGAGGCGGAGGAGGGAGAAGAAGTAGAAATGGAAGAAGCAGAAGAAGGTGGTTTTGAATTTGAACTCGATTTCGACTTCTGAATTTTTATTATTAGTATGATTTAAGTATTATCAACCCAATTGTTGTGTGCCTTTACATTTGCATTCCTGTTTATTGATGTAAAAATATATTTGTTCTTAAATACCTCTCGATCAACGGGTGGTTTGAAATTTGTAATACTATATGTTATTATCATCATCTGGTTTTATGTGCATGTAAAAAACATGTAGTCTGTAGCTCCTTCCACTTGAAAAATAGGCACATTATTCTTACGATTCAGAGTTGATATTTTAACATGTATTGTTCAATTAGGCACTTGAAATAGGAATTTCCCCACCGGTTGACTAATTGTGAACAGCTTTGACGAGCTCAATGGACTTAAAAGTAATACTTGTCTTTTAACATGGAGCACTATTAAGAATTGGTGCACTTTTAGTGCTCTCTCAAACGTTCGTCTAATTTTTAACAATGCACCTGAGAAAGTTTCCCCAAAATTCAGTTTTGCTTGTTCCTTCACATTCCTTATTGAATCAGACTTCTGATTTGTCTCTTCCGTTTCTTCTCCAAATCAAATAATATATATATTCAGAATTACATAAAAAAACGTGAACAATTTTTGAAAGCAACTATGTTGTTAAGGTGCATCAGAGAATCAACTCATAGTGTAGTTAAGGTGCAATTTTGGAGCTGTTTCGATGCTTTTTAGCTGCAATTTTGGTCCTTTCCTCATGTTGTTTTTGGTGTGATTCTAGTGCTGTTTTAGAGTGAATCTGGTGCGTCTGGTTTGAACACAGAGTAAAAAACAGGGGACTGATGGTAACAGAGTGGGTTGATCAGAGAGAAATCTTGAGCCACGGGAGCGTTGAAGGTTTTCTAAGCCACTGCGATTGGAATTCAGTGGTGGAGAGCATATGCGCGAAGGTACCTATACTGGCATGGCCAATGATGGCTGATCAACACCTGAATGCGAGGATGGTGGTGGAGGAAATCAAGATTGGACTAAGAGTCGAGACGTGAGATGGGTTTGTGAAGTGGGAAGGTCTGGAAAAGCCGATAAGGGAGTTGATGGAAGGAGAGAAAGGTAAAGAGGCAAGGAAGAAAGTGAAGGAGATTGGAGAGGCAGCCATTAATGCAGTAAAAAAAGGTGGATTATCGTGGCAACTGACAAACGTTGAATGAGCTTATTCATGAGTTAATTGAAAGAAAAAATGTTTGAATTAGTATGATTTTCTTGTGCGAGTAGTAGGATACCTTCCATTTGTGCGTCTTTTTTTTTTCTTTCTATTTTCTGTTACCTGTTACCGTTAACTTGTTACATGAATTAAAGGATAATTTCACAAATCTCCGTCCAAAGTTTTGTCGGTGATTTACCACATTACACTTACTTCTTTTATTTTTATATTTTGTTACTATTTCACTTCATTAAATTTATTTAAATAAATATAAATAAATTATGATTTGACAATATGTCCCTCTTTATATTAATTTTTTTTCCATATTATTGAAAAATGATTTATTTAATAAATACTTTAAAATAAATCAGTTTGAAGAAATATGTATCTTTGTTTGGTAAAAAAAACATGTGTATATATATATATATATATATATATATATATATATATATATATATTATAATATTAATTTATTTGTGTTTATTTATATTTAAAATATTTATTAAATAATAATATGCATTAATATGAAAAATTAATATAAAAAGGATAAATTTTAAAAAGTCATGATTGATTTAAATTTATTTTAAAATAAATTTAAAGAATGATTACAAAAAAAAAAAGAAAAAGGAATGTAAGTGTACTATAAACTACAAGAAATGTGAGTGTTATAGAGAGAAATCTGAAAAAGAGGTCTCTAAAATTATCTGAACGAATTAAGGACCTTTTTTATTTTCTTAAGTATAAAAATGAATATTTCTTAATCTATTGTAAAAAAATAAATAATCAAATTTAAAATAAATTTATAAAAGACTAAAAAATTGAATCTCTCAAATAAAATATCAGTAATATGAAATAAGAGTAAAATGGTAGAGATCTTATTTTTAATTTGTAAAGAGAAAGAATACGTAGAAATTGAAACATTTTGATTTCTAGCTAACTAAAGAATTAAATGGGGCAAAAATGTGAAAATAAATAATTGTCAAAAAGTAAATTGAAAGAAGTGAGGGCAAACAAGTTTTGAGTTTGTTTTTCAAATTTCAAATATAACTATAAGTAGTATTTTAAATTTTCATAGCCAAATAAATTAAGTGATTTTTTTTTTCTAAAAAGAGTGAATAATTCATGATAAAAAAGGGTCTTTATATAAGTTGTCACCCTTATTTTGGATGTTTATAAGTCTCACAATTTGCAATGTTTAAAGGGAATACTTATTTCCATATACTTATTTTTGGAAATTTTTTTATAGTGTCAACAACAACTTGTCAACTACAATATCTTTTTATTTGAAGTTGTTGAACATGTGAATTATTGAAATTTGGTAAACATAGTTGATATTACTTAATTTAAATGTCTTACAACGTGCTTGTTGAAAATAATTAAATGATTCTTAGGGAGGGAATTGCTAATATTGTTGGCAAGTAGCTAAAACGTAATCCACTTTAAAAACTTTTAGAAATTGAACGAAAAGGACATTCTGTTGATTCAAAAAGTTGTTCTTCTCATCTAATGAAAAAACCTAAAATTAACAAAGTTCAAAAGTCAAAGGTAGAAGAAACATTATATTATGAAGAACCCAAATAACCAGAAAACAATCAGAATCATCAATCATAGATACAACGTGCTTGTTGAAAATAATTAAATGATTCTAGGGAGGGAATTGCTAATATTGTTGGCAAGTGGCTAAAACGTAATCCACTTTAAAAACTTTTAGAAATTGAACGAAAAGGACATTCTGTTGATTCAAAAAGTTGTTCTTCTCATCTAATGAAAAAACCTAAAATTAACAAAGTTCAAAAGTCAAAGGCAGAAGAAACATTATATTATGAAGAACCCAAATAACCAGAAAACAATCAGAATCATCAATCATAGATCCTGCTAATCATTAATGATGGAATTCAAATTTTCATTAAGAGAATTCAAAGTATATAGAAGTATAGTATACGAAAAAGTCTAACGAGATTCAACGGTGAAATGCATAAGCATAACCCATCTTGATATACCCTTGGTTTTCTTTTAGCATCATTTTAATTAACAAAATACAATTATTCATCTATTGTCACGTCCCAACTTGCAATATTTAAAGGGTAATTTACCCAATTTCATTATTTTAAGAGTTAATTATTTATATTCACAGTAATTTGCAATATTATATTATTTTTTTATCATATTTATTCAAATACATGTATTCGAGATACAAATTAATTAGTATGTCTAATTAGGGGATATAACTGAAAGCCATTATTAATTAAAGAATGTGTCTAATCAATGAATATAGCTGAAAGACTTTAGAGGATAGGACATATCAATACCTCTAAAAAAAATTCATAATCCTTTTTTTTTTTTTGGCAATTTAGCAAAGTTTAAACTTCTTAACTCAAATTTATGAACTCCTATCCAAATACATGCATATATTTTGTCAGATCCATATACATTTAATCAAATAAACTGATTAAAACTAGATACATATAATCAGGGGAGACTCTAATAAATTGGTGGCCTAAAGCCAAATCCGAATGGAGGCCTTAAATTTGAATATATATTTTTTATGAAGTTTATTATAGTCAATTAAATAATCTTTCTTGAAAGATAGTATTCATAATTTGTCAGACTTCTATTACTTCTTTGCTCTTTTATAAAAAGTTTTTATTTTCTACAAATAATACTCAATATTTTTTAAAAAAATATACTTATGACCTATTACTTTTTAAAAAAATGAGTCCCCTCAAATTTTGGGGCTTAAGGCACTTGCTTTTTTTCAAAGCTGTAGAGCCGCCCTTGCATAGTGCATATGATCTTAACTCAATAATGTGTCAGATACATGCATACATTTAGTCAAATACATGTACACTTAAATCAGTATACTGATAAAAAATAGATACATATAATCTTAACTCAATAATGTATCAATACATCCGTAAATCTCCACTTACTGTTTCCACAAACAATTGTTTTTTTCGAGCAACAATAAGCCTCGAAGTAGTAAAAAGGCTAAGCAAACTAATACTGAAACTTTTCGATTACGTTCCTGGCTGGTCCAACATCTAACCACCATGGTATTGCTTCACCTTTTGATTTGTTGTTGTGAGCAACAATGCACTTATCGTCAACATCGCCAGAGTCAGAGAGAAGGATGAGGCGGCGCCAACGACGACATGGGATTGGTTTCGCTGAGGCTCATCAAAGAAGAAACAGAGGAGAGGGCGAAGTGAGAGAAAGACTGCGTTGATTTGAAATGAATGCATAAATTATGGAGAGAATTAAGTGCTCTATTTTTGGTTAATTCTAAAAGAATAATGTATCTTAATGAATCTAATTTAAAATATGGTATAAAATTCCTTATTTATATGAATTTATACGTAATTTTTGAAAGTATATATAAAAATTGTATATATGGTATTGATCCACTTCTAATAAGGTAGTTTTCCATATTTAAAAGGTATAGAACATGGCTTGTTATTTCCTTTTCGATGGGCACACACGCTTTATGAAACAGGCAACAAAGAGTATGTTAACTTATAAGCAATTAAGCGAAAGACGTATGTACGTACATTGATCAATAAATAGTCGACCATGTTAATTACCATCAATTACAATCTATACTTACCATATATAGTTGATTACATAATACTCCTATTAATATAGGATTTTTAAAAATTGTTTTTACCATGTATACTACTTACCATATTTAATATTTTACCATGTATAATTTTCTTGAAACCTTATAAATAAGGTGATAATCTCGTTAATTTTAAAGGAATAGAAATCAAGAATTTTCTGTGATTCAAAAACCATACTTGTATCCACTAGCAATATGTCAAGAATTCTGCACAAGATCGAGGAGAAGCTTCACATACACCACAAACATGGAGATGATGATATTCATGTAACTCAAAAAAAGCCTGAAGAACCCCATGTGATTAATGATGAAAGAAATGTAGATAAGAAAGAGGACGTTGTTGATCATAAGAAAAGGAATATGGTAAAAAAAATTGCTGGGAAAATTGCCAAAAAAATGATACATGCTCATCACAGAACCCCTAGAGAGGAAGGCGAAGAAGGCGAAGAAGAGGAAGAGGAGGGAGAAGAGGTAGAAGAAGGAGAAGGAGAATCCGAAGGAGAAGGAGGTTGTTTTGGATTTGAACTCGATTTTGACTTTTGAATTTTTATTACTAGTAATGATCTACGTATCAACCCAATTTTTGTGTGCCTTTAAATTATATTTGCATTCTTGTTATTGATTTATTTTAAGAATATATCTGTTCTTAAGATACTGCGGTAACAAGAGGTTTGAAATTTGTAGTAAACATGTAGTTCCTCATCCTTCCAGTTGAAAAATAGGCACATTGTTTTAGAAATTTGGACTTCATATTTTAACATCTACATATTGTTCAAATAGGCTCTTAATTGAAAAAGGAATTCCCTCGAGCGTCTAATTGTGAACAGTTTCTAGCTCAAATTAATCCAGTGACGGAGCTAGGATTTTTCTCTTTAAAGTATGAAGAATTAAAAACATGAATAAAAAGAGAATTCAATATTAACTATATATACATAAAGAATAATTTTAATTATGTATAAACTGTATAATTTTTTGTTGAACCCTCAGCTCTACTTGATTCCGCCTCAGTGAACGAGGATTGACTTGAATCGTGAGGTGAAGATAAAATTTTTGATGATATTTTTGGACAAATAACACAAATCCTATTACTTTAGGAGCAAATTACTTCCTTTCAGCGAATTTTAATATGAATCTTAACATAAATTGGACTTCGGATACATGCATTTGGCGTGTCCAAATACATATATCTCGAATAAATGAGGTTAAAAATAGGTATAATTTGTTTTAGATACACTGTATTCAAGTGCATTCATATGTATCCGACTCTCTCGCTCGCCTCTATTCTTTCTTGCTTGTTTTTCTGCCAATGTTTCTGATACACGGACTATCTCGCCTGCCTACCAATGTATCTGATTGCAAAAATATATGTATTATATATGTATCTGACTTAAAATTTAATACTATGAAATTATTCATTAGTGAAATAATATGTAATTATTTTAAATTATAGATTTAATTAATAAATACATAGAAATGTTAGTACAATTAGATAGTTTTTCCATTTTTGTTCATATGTTGAAATCTTAATAGGCTGAATTACTCGATGGAACTAGTCAATGAAGACGGTAGCACATTACCCAATAAAATTAATCATGAATATTAGTCCAGATGTGTACAAACTAATAACAAGAATACAAGGGTCATAATAAATTATATTCCCTCCGTTTAACAAAAAATGATTTAATCTGACTTGATACGAAATTTAAGAAAATAAAGAAAACTTTTAAATTATGTGGTCCTAAATTAAAGATGTCAAATGTACAAAATTGTCCTTTAATCTTATTGCCTTAAATATTGCCAAGTGAAAAGCTAAAATTAAAATGTTACCAAATTTTTTATTTTTTTTATTTTTTAAACAGACTAAAAAGAAATGGAAATCATTTTTTTTTAAAAATAGAGTAAAAAGGTATTACTACCGTATAAATTGGAATTATGAGAATAACAAACGAACACCAAGAGCAGAGCATAGAAAAAATGGCTTCTCCTCATGTTGTTCTGTTTCCTTTCATGTCCAAAGGCCATATTATCCCTATCTTTGACCTTGCTCGTCTCCTTCTCCGCCGTGGAATATCCGTCACCGTCTTCACCACTCCGGCGAGCCGTCCTTTTTTCTCCAACTCCCTTTCCGACACCAACGTCAATATTATCGACATCCCATTTCCTCAAAATATCGAAGGAATTCCCATAGGTGTTGAGAGTACTGATAAACTTCCATCCATGTCCCTTTTTGTTCCATTTTCCTCGGCTACAAAATCAATGAAAATCAATTTTGAACAAGCCTTAGCTGCTCTTCTGCCAGTTACTTTCATGATCACTGATAGTTTCCTCCTATGGACTTTAGATTCTGCAAACAAGTTGAGTATCCCAAGATTCGCCTTTAATGGGATGACCACCTTTTCCTTGTCCTTAGGGCGTTCCTCTCATGATCTCCTTCGAACAGAATTGTCTGATGATGAAATGTTCACACTCCCTGATTTCCCCTGGATTAAGCTCACTAGAAATGACTTCGATTCACCCTTCAGAGAGCGTGATCCGAAGGGTCCCTTTTTCGATCTTATCTTGGAGCAAGCCATGGCGACCTCTAAACAGTGGCGGACCTACGTAGGGGTGTGGGGGTGCCACGCCACCCCCGAACTTCGACGGAAACTCTATATATACATAGGTATATATATATATATAATATTGTATAAATATAAAGCGTGCCACCCAGAGAACAAAGCTGGCTTGTGGTGCCACGGTAGGAGGGCAATTTTAGAAGGCTGATGTTGCGGATTCGAATCCCATTTGTACCTATTTTTTTGAGAAATTTGCTGCCTTTTGTTTTTAAGAAAAAAAGGGCTCCAAGAACACTTTTTTAAGGAAAAACAGCTGGCACATTATTATTATTTTTTTATAATTGTTAATCGATAAGTCTATTTGGCATTCACGGACTCTAAATCCTAGATCCGCCACTGCCTCTAAAAGCTATGGTCTAATTGTCAACAGCTTTTACGAGCTTGAATCTGTTTATGTAGACTATTTTAATAGTAAGTTTAGTCCTAAAGCATGGTGCGTTGGACCCTTTTGTGCAGCGACCGCACCACTACAGCAAAGGTTAGAGAAGCCTTCATACATAAAGTGGCTTGATGAAATGCTAGAACAGGGGAAGCAAGTTTTGTACATGGCATTCGGGACCCAAGCAGAGTTATCTCCTGAACAATTCAAGGAAATCAAAATTGGGTTGGAGAAATCCCAAGTCAACTTTTTGTGGGTAGTCAAGAAAAGTATAGATGAAGTCGATGACGGGTTCAAAAACAGAGTGAAAAACAGGGGACTGATGGTGACAGAGTGGGTTGATCAGAGAGAAATCTTGAGCCACAGGAGTGTTGAAGGTTTTCTTAGCCACTGCGGTTGGAATTCAGTGGTGGAGAGCATATGCGCGAAGGTTCCCATACTGGCGTGGCCAATGATGGCTGATCAACACCTGAATGCGAGGATGGTGGTGGAGAAAATCAATATTGGACTAAGAGTCGAGACGTGTGATGGGTCAGTGAGAGGGTTCGTGAAGTGGGAAGGACTGGAAAAGTCAGCAAAGGAGTTGATTGAAGGAGAGAAAGGTAAAGAGGCAAGGAAGAAAGTGAAGGAGATTGGAGAGGTAGCCATTAATGCAGTAAAAGAAGGTGGATCATCATGGCAAACGTTGAATGAGCTTATTCATGAATTAACTGAAATATGTATCCTTGTTCGGTAAAACAACATGTGTAATATAAATATAATATTAATTTATTTGTGCTGATTTAAATTTTAAATATTTATTAAATAAGTCATGTTTATTAATAATATGAATTAATATGAAAAAATTAATATAAAAAGGGTAAATTTTAAAAAGTCTTAATTAATTTAAATTTATTTTAAAATAAATTTAAAGAATGATTAAAAAAAAGATGGAATGTAACCGTAATATTATAAACCACATGAGAGGTGAGTATTATAGAGAGAAATCTGAAAAAGTGGTCTCTAAAATTATCTCAATGAATTAAGGACCTTTCTTAATTTCTAAGTATAAAAATGAATATTTCTTAATCTATTGTAAAATAATATCAAATTAAAAATAAATTTATAAAAGAACATAAAATTGAATCTCTCAAATAAAATATCAGTAGCATGAAATAAGAGTAAATTGTAGAGATCTTATTTATAATTTGTAAAGAGAGAGAATACGCAGAAATTGAAACATTTTGATTTCTAGCTGAATAAAGAAATAAATGGGGCAAAATTGTGAAAATAAATAATTGTCAAAAGTAAAGTGAAAAAAGTAAAACAAGTTTTGAGTTGTTTTTCAAATTTCAAAAATATAACTTTAAGTCGTATTTTAAATTTTCATAGCCAAATAAATTAAGTGATTTCCCCCCCTAAAAAGAGTGAATAATTCATGATCAAACAGGGCCTTTATATAATTTGTCACCCTTATTGGATGTTGATAAGTCAATACTCTTTAGGGTAGGGTATACTTATTTCCTTTTTTTTTTTTTTTTTGGGAAAAATGTATAGTGTCAACAACTTGTCAACTACAATATCTTTTAATTTGAAGTTGTTGCAAATGTGAATTATTGAAATTTGGTAAACATAGTTGATATTACTTAATTTAAACGTCTTACAACGTGCTTGTTGAAAATAATTAAATGATTCTTAGGGAGGGAGTTGTTAATATTGTTGGCAAGTGGCTAAAACGTAATCTATTTTAAAAGCTTTTAGAAATTGAACGAAAAGGACATGCTGTTAATTAAAAAATTTGTGATAAACCTAAAAATAACAAAGTTTAAAAGTCCAAGACAGAAACATTATATTACGAAGAACCAAAATAACCAGAAAACAATTAGAATCATCAATCATAGCTCCTGATAATAATCAATGACGGAATTAAAATTTTCATTTGAGAAAATTTAAAATATATAAAAGTAAGCATACGAAAAAATTTAACGAGATTCAACAGTGAAATGCATAAGCATAACCCATCTTGATGTACCTTTGGTTTTCTTTTAACACCATTTTAATTAACAAAATACGATAATTCATCTAATGTCACGTCCCAACTGGCATATTTAAAGGGTAATTTACATCAATTTCATTACTTTAAGAGTTACGGCAGTGGTCCACTTTTAATTGTCATCGTTTCCTTTTTTAGAGTCAAACAATATAAACTTTGACTAACATTTTACAATGTATTTTTTAATCATATTAATATGCAAAAAATTACAATTTATAGTACTTTGCGTATAGTTTTTGAATATCTAATTTTTTTGTTTAAAATATCAAATTAATGTAATCTAATTTAACTTTGAAAATAGGTCAAATTGACTTTCAAAAAGTGCAATATGACAAATAAAAGTGGATAGAGGGAGTAATCACTTAGGATCACACTAGTTTGTAATATTACGTTTCTTATCTTAGATACGTATATCTGCCTCTTCCAAATATATGTATCCGAGATACATATCAATTAGGGTGCCAAATTAGGTGATATAACTGAAAATCATTAATTAAGAAATGTGTCTAATTAATGAATATAACGGAAAGCATTGATAAAGGAGAGATTACGCTTGTAACAACGTCAAAAAAATAATATCATAGTCCTTTTATTTTGGCAAGTCAACAAAATTTAGACTTCTTAACTCAAATTTATGAACTCCTATCCAAATATATGCATATTTTTGTTTGATCCACATATATTTAATCAGATAAACTGATTAAAACTAAATACATATAATCTTAACTCAATAATGTGGCAGATACATCAATAATGTACCAGACACATGCGTATAGTTTGTCAAATACATGCATAAATTTCAATACATGCATATAATGTGTCAGATACATCCGTAATTCTCCGCTTATTGTTTCCACAAACAATTATCTTTTTCGAGCAACAATAAGCTTTGAAGTAGGAAAAATGGTAATACTGAAACTTTTCGGTTATAGATGTTCCTGGCTGGTCTGACATCTAACCACAGTGGTGTTTGCTTCACCTTTTGATTTGTTGTTGTGAGCAACAATGCACTTACCGTCAATGTCTTGGGGGATTGGTTTCGCTAAGGCTCATCAAAGAAGAAATAGAGGAGAGGGCAAAGTGAGAGAAAGTAAGCGTTGATTTGAAGTGAATGCATAAATTATGGAGAGAATTAAGCGCTTTACTTTGGGTTACTTTTAAAAGAATAATGTATCTCATGAATCTAATTTAAAATATGGTATAAAATTCTTAATTTATATGAATTTATACGTAATTATTTGAAAGTATATATAAAAATAATTTATATGGTATTGATCCACTTCTAATAAGGTAGTTTTCCATATTTAAAAGGTATAGAACATGGCTTGCTATTTCCTTTTCGATGGGCACACACGCTTTATGAAACAGGCAACAAAGAGTATGTCAACTTATAAGCAATTAAGCGAAAGACGTATGTACGGTCATTGATCAATAAATAGTCGATCATGTTAATTATCATCAATTACAATCTATACTTACCATATATAGTTGATTACATAATACTCCTATTAATATAGGATTTTTAAAAATTGTTTTTACCATGTATACTACTTACCATATTTAATATTTTACCATGTATAATTTTCTTGAAACCTTATAAATAAGGTGATAATCTCGTTAATTTTAAAGGAATAGAAATCAAGAATTTTCTGTGATTCAAAAACCATACTTGTATCCACTAGCAATATGTCAAGAATTCTGCACAAGATCGAGGAGAAGCTTCACATACACCACAAACATGGAGATGATGATATTCATGTAACTCAAAACAAGCCTGAAGAGCCCCATGTGATTAATGAGGAAATCAATGTAGATAAGAAAGAGGAAGTTGTTGATCATAAGAAAAGGAATATGGTGAAAAAAATTGCTGGGAAAATTGCCAAAAAACTGGTACATGCTCATCACAGAACCCCCAGAGAGGAAGGCGAAGAAGAGGAAGAGGAGGGAGAAGAAGTAGAAGAAGGAGAAGGAGAATCCGAAGGAGAAGGAGAAGGAGGTTGTTTTGGATTTGAACTCGATTTCGACTTTTGAATTTTTATTACTAGTATGGTTTATGTATCAACCTAATTATTGTGTGCCTTAAAATTATATTTGCATTCTTGTTATTGATTTAATTTAAGAATATATCTGTTCTTAAGATACGGCGCAACAAGAGGTTTGAAATTTGTAGTAAACATGTAGCTCCTCCTTCCACTTGAAAAATAGGTACATTGTTTTAGCAATATGGAGTTCATATTTTAACATCTATATATTGTTCAAATAGGCTCTTAATTAAAAAAGGAATTCCCTCCAGTGTCTAATTGTGAACAGTTTTTAGCTCAAATCAATCCAGTGACGGAGCTAGGATTTTCTCTTTAAAGTATGAAGAATTAAAAACATGAATAAAAAGAGAATTCACTATTAACTATATATACATAAAAAATAATTTTAATTATGTATAAACTATATAATTTTCTATTGAACCCTCAGCTCTACATGATTCCGCCTCAGTGAACGAGGATTGACTTGAATAGTCAGGTGAAGATAAAATTTTTGATGATATTTTTGGACAAATAACACAAATCCTATTACTTTAGGAGCAAATTACTCCCTTTCAGCGAATTTTAATATGAATCTTAACATAAGTTGGACTTCGGATACATGTATTTGGCGTGTCCAAATACATATATCTCAAATACATGAGGTCAAAAATAGGTATAATTTATTTTAGATACACTGTATTCAAGTGCATTCATATGTATCCGACTCTCTCGCTCGTTCTTGCTTGCTTTTCTGCCAATGTTTCTGATACATGGACTATCTCGCCTGCCTCCCAATGTATCTGATTGCAAAAATACATGTATTTATGTGTATCTGACTTGAAATCGAATACTATGAAATTATTCATTAGTGAAATAATATGTAATTATTTCAAATTATAGGTTTAATTAATAAATACATAGAAATGTTAGTACAATTAGATAGTTTTTTCCATTTTTGTTCATATGTTGAAATCTTAATAGGCTGAATTACTCGATGGAACTAGTCAATGAAGAAGGTAGCACATACCCAATAAAATTAATCATAAATATTAGTCCAGATGTGTACAAACTAACAAGAATACAACGGTCATAATAAATTATAAAAAGGTATTACTACTGTATAAATTGGAATTATGAGAATAACAAACCAACACTAAGAGCAGAGCATCAATGGCTTCTCCTCATGTTGTTCTGTTTCCTTTCATGTCCAAAGGCCATATTATCCCTATCTTTGACCTTGCTCGTCTCCTTCTCCGCAGTGGAATTTCCGTCACCGTCTTCACCACTCCGGCAAGCCGTCCTTTTTTCTCCGACTCCCTTTCCAACAGCAACGTCAATATTATCGACATCCCATTTCCTCAAAATATCGAAGGGATTCCTGTAGGTGTTGAGAGTACTGATAAACTCCCATCCATGTCCCTTTTTGTTCCATTTGCCTCCGCTACAAAATCCATGAAACCCAATTTTGAACAAGCCTTAGCGTCTCTTTCGCCAGTTAGTTTTATGATCACGGACAGCTTCCTTCCATGGACTTTGGACTCTGCAAACAAGTTGGGTATCCCAAGATTTGCCTATTATGGCATGACCACTTTTTCCTTGTCCTTAATGCGTTCCTCCGGTGATCTCCTACGAACAGAATTATCCGATGATGAAATTTTCACACTCCCTGATTTCCCCTGGATT